CTCCTCCTCCTCCTCGCAGTGCTCCTTCTTGTAATCCTCGTACTCTGCCTCGTGCTCCTTCGCGCCCCCCTCCTCCTCCTCCTCCTCCTCCTCCTCCTCCTCCTCCTCCTCCTCCTCCTCCTCCTCCTCCTCCTCCTCCCTCCTCCTCCTCCTCCTCCTCCTCCTCTCCTCCTCCTCCTCCTCCTCCTCCTCCTCCTCTTCGCAATGCTCCTCTTCCACTTCCTGCTCCAGCTCCTCCTCGTCCCCCTCCTCCTCGCAATCCTCCTTCTCTTCCTCGCGTTCCTCGCTCTCCTCCCTTTCCTCATCGTCCTCCTCGTCATGCTCTTATTCCTCCTCCCTCTTCTCCTACTCGTTCCTCCTCGTCTCCTTTCCTTCGCCATGCCAGGGATGACTTCGCACTCTCGGTCCCGCTCCCAGGAGGCATCCTCGCCATGGATGCCCTCAAACAAATCGCTTGGGCCTGGTCCCGCCTCTCTTGCCCATTGCTCCTGCTTCCTCCCCCCTCTCTCCTGCCCCATCCTGCCTCATCCCGGCTCACCTCGCTCAGGTCTCGAGGCATCTCCATGCTCTGACCGAGCATGGCTCCCCCTTGAGACGCTCTTCAAAATGTGCCAAGGAATCGTGCTCGCGCAACAGCGCCGGCTATCGCCTCCGTCGGGCCAGGGGCGCCCGGACCCCTCAAGACCACTCCGACGACAGAAACGCAATCGAATGGCTCGCCTGGGTCTGGCCCCGTCCTCCCTCCCTCCGTCCTCCTTCCTCCCCCTCGGAGACCAGACTCGCGAGGGTGTCTCAATCGAAACACGCCTGGCAGTCTAGCGCGCAGCATCTCGGAGCTCGGACCTGTGAGAAGGTCCCAAGTGACATGGGCCAGACAACCTCGCATGCATGTTCTCGGTGCCCAGAGTTGCGAGGATGTCTCGGGAGAGACAGGCCGGACCGCATCCCGCGCGGCACCACCTCTCGAGCCATATCTCTAGGAGCCCAGGAGCTGCGACGCTGGATCAGGCGGCGCCCGGACCCCTCCAAGAGCACAGTTCGACAACGGAAACGTAATCAAATGGTTCGTTTGGGTCTGACCCCTCCTCCCTCCTCTCCCCTCCATCTCGGAGATCAGAATTTCGAGGACGTGTCGGTCAAAACGCGCCCGACCATCTCGCGCGCAGCATGTCGAAGCCCTAAAGAATTGCGAGGATGAATCAGGCGAAACGCGCCTGACCACCTCGCGCGCGCGGCGTCTCAGTGCCCAGAGTTTCGAGGTCGTCTCAAGCGAAACGGGCCGGACAGTCCGCCTCTCGCGTGGTGTTTTGGAGCCTTGGGATGCGAGAGTGTCTGCTGCGAAACGGGCCGGACAAACCCGCGCGCGGCATCTCGGAGCCAAGAGTTGCCATAATGTCTCGGGCGAAACGGCCCAGACCACCACTCGCGTGGCATCTCGAAGACCAGAATTGCGATGATGTCTCAGGCAAAGCGTGCCAGACCACCTCGCGAGCGGCATCCCCGAGCCCAGACGTGAGGATGGCTCGAGCAAAACGGGCTGGACCACCTGGCGCGCGACATCTCCGGGAGCCCAGAGTTGCGACGATGTCTCAAACGAAACGGGCTGGACCACCTCGCGCGCGACATCTCTGGGGGCCCAAATGTTGTGAGGATGGATCAGGCGGCGCACAGAAACCTTGCAGAGCACAGTTCGACAACAGGAACTGACTTAAATGGTTCGTTTGGGTCTTCTGGTCCCTCCTCTCTCTCTTCCCTCTCGGAGCCCAGAGGTTCGAGGATGAGTCAGGCGAAGCGCGCCAGACCACCTCGCGCGCAGCATGACGGAGGTCGAAATCGCGAGGATGCCTCGGGCAAAGTGCGCCATACCACCTCGCGCGCGGTGTCTTGGAACCCAGAGTTGCAAGGATTATGGAGGATGACAATTACTAAATGACCGGGGGTCGTGTTCACGCGGCGGCGCCCGGGGTGACGATTCGAAAAAAACCGGCCGCGGGCTGTTGTTTTTTCCCCCACATCCAAAGTGGGGTTTTTGTTTTCTTTGGACACCCCGCGCAGGAACAGGAACCCACCATCATCATCATCACTCATTCCTCACTCACTCACTCACTCATCACCCCTCGCACACTCACTCACTCACTCACTCACTCAGTCACTCACTCACTCACTCACTCACTCACTCACTCACTGACTCATCAGCACTCACATATGATGATGATGAGTGTGCGCGTGAGAGAGTGTGATGATGATCATCATCATCACCAGTCAGTCAGTCAGTCAGTCACTCACTCACTCGCCTTGGGCCTCGTCTGTGAGTGAATTGCGAGGAAGTCTCAAGCGGGAGCCCCCTCCCTATGGGGCCCGCGGATCATGTTACTAATCCGAGCGGGTCATCCAATTCCTATAACTGTCGCCACTTTTGGGCTCTCGCGCTGCCAGAACGCCACTCCCAGGCCACATTTTGAATGCCCGGAGCCAACTGTAAGCCACTTGGTGTTCTTCGTGCTCCCAGAACACCATTCCCGGGCCACATTTTGAACGCCCAGAGCCAACTGTAGGCCACTTCGTGTTCTTCGTGTTCCCAGAACACCACTCCCGGGCCACTTTCTGAGTGTCCGGAGCCAAAACAGGAGGGCGAGGTCGGGGGCAACGTAGGAAGCGGGGGGAGGGCCCGCGCCAGGGCGAGAAGAAATATACGCAGAAGAGACAGCCAGGACGCCTCACCAACCACGAGGACGACGGTGAGGGCTTTTTTTAGATTCGCCCAGAGGATTCTCATGTGGGTCCTTCCGTGGGATTTTGTTTTATAGAAAGCGTTCTCCTCCAGTCAGAAACTTGTGCTGAAATAGCAGACAACTATCTTTTTTAATCGTTCTCTCCAATTATTTTCATTAATCGTCATCCCGCATTATGTGCGGCGAAACGGGGCGGAAAATCTCGCGCGCGGCATCTCCGAGCTCAGAATTGCGAGGATGCCTGCGGCGAACTGCGCCGACCATCGAAGAGCGGCGTGCGAGGATCGACCGGGCGGCACCCGGACCCCTCCAAGAGCACAATTCGACAACGGGAACGCAATCGAATGGTTCGTTTGGGTCTGACCCCTCCTCCCCCCTCCCTCGCAGAGACCAGTTGTGAAGATATCTCAGGCGAAACGCGCTGGACCACCTCGCGCGCAGCATGTTGGAACCCAGGGTTGCGAGGATGTCACATGCGGAACGCGCTGGACCACCTCGCGCGTTGTTGTTTATGTATTGTTGCTGTTGTTGTGTTGCTGACTTATCACACCAACAGAAACTGATAATTGTTGATCCCCCCCTGCCAGGTAACCTTTACACGGCTCGCACCTGGCTTTGCAAGGGAAAAGGCAGCGTCACCAAGCTGAACCCCTGGCCCCCGATTGACAACAACAGCGGCTCCCGCCTGACACTCCCTCACAGTTGGTTTGAAAATCGCGCTCTCGCGCGGGACTTCCTCACAACTTGAACTGGAATCGCGCTCCCGCGTGGGCCTCTCACAACTTATTCAGACGCCGCGCCCTCGACACTCAGCAGTCACGCTCCCGCTGTGGATCTCCTTGCGATGTATTTGGGAATCGCGCTATCACTCGAGACGTCCTCACGATTCATGCAGGACGCACGCTTCAGCAACCTGCCTGTTCGACCTGGCCACCTGGGCCTGCCTTCCCGATTCGCCCGTTAGGGCCTACCCGCCCGATCTGCCTGCCTGGTTCTGCCACGTGTTCTCTGCTTCTAGCCCCCTCCTGCTACTCTCTCTCTCTGTCTCTTCCTCTCTCTCTCTCGTGCTCCATCATCCTGCCTCCCTCTTGTCCCTTCCTTCCATCCGTCCTCTCTTCCCCTACCTTAGGGGCTGCGCGAAATACACGTTGCAGGTAAGAAAGATATGCCCCCAAATGGGGTGCGATCGAAGCCGACCAGGGCGGGCATCGAGGGTTTTGGGAAATAAGATTTGAGTTGCACGCGGGCGGACAAGAACGAGCAATGTTAACATGATTGGTGTTGGTGTTGTTTGTTAATGGTGTTGTTGTTGGTGTTGGTGGTGGTGATGTTGATGTTGTGGCTGTTGTTGGTGTTGGAGTTGCTGTTGCTGTTGTTGCTGCTGTGGTTGCTGTTGCTGTTGTTGCTGCTGTGCTTGTTGTTGTTAGTGTTGTCGAATGTTGTAGTTGTTATTGTTGCTGCTGGTTTGGTTGTTGTTGACGTCGTCGTCCCACCTGTGACCCGACCCGCGACCCACCCGCGACCCGCGCGCGACCCGCCCGCGACCCGCCCGAGAGCCGCCCGCGACCCGCCCATGACCCACCCGCGACCAAGCACACGACTGACCCGCGACCCAACCACGACCCGCCCACAGCCCACCCGCGATCCACCCGCGACCAACTCGCGACCCCCCGCGACCCACCCGCGACCCACCCGCGACTCACCCGCGACCCTGCCCGCGACCGACCCTCGACCCACCGCGCGCCCGCCATCTCACTCTTATCAGCAGCTGTTGGGTGCTGCATAATGCGGGATGACGGTTAATCAAAAGAATGGGAGAGAACGATTAAACAAATAATGTTCTGCTATTTCTGCATAATTTTCTGACTGGAAGAGAACGGTAAAAAATAGTTTTCCAGCCCGCGGCCGTTTTTTTCTGATCGTCATCCCGGGCGCCGCAGCGTGAACACGACCCCCGGTCATTTATTAATCGTCATCCTCCATTACGCTTTGGAGCGCTCGCATCATGCCATGCACAACATGAACCGATACCGAAAACCGCTCTCCCAATTGGGGGGCTACGTTTCCCTTCGGTGTCACCTTCCACCCTCCAGCATAAACCTTCCGAAGTGTCTCCCAGATCTTGAGCCTGATCCTGGTTTCCCTGGGCCCTCTGCTCAGCTGATCATGCACTGGGTGTAACAGTCCTCTATGGATTGGCATTGGCACGCTGGGCCAAGCCTTGCTATCACTGGGAGACGTGGGGCTGATCGGTGCCAGGGTCGGTGCCTGCGTCGGCAACGGCATAGGCGCCTGCGTCGGTGCCAGCGTGGGCGACGGCGATGGTTCTGGCGTCGGATCCAGTGAGGGTGCTGGTGTTGGTGCGTCGGTCGGTGCCAACGTCGGCGTATCCTGAGGCTTGCCATGACTAGAGCAATGCCGTCGTGGCGTCCCGCTAGCCCTAGGCAAGTCCGTCGGCCCCCCTGGGCGGCCTCCAGGCTGTAACGATCACGTTGCGTTGGCGCCAATGTTTTGTGACGATGTAGGAGGTTGAGCGTTGTGCATCGTTGTCTCCAGTCCCCCTTTGTGAGCCCAGAAATGGCCGAGCCAGGATCCGGACAAAATCGTACATATGCGGACGCGTCTTGCGAGAGCAGTCCGACGCTAGCGTTGTGCAGGAGCGCTGCTTGGAGCTAATACAAGCCTTCTGAAAACACTCACCTCCTTGGGTCATGTCTCTCTGGCAGGCAGAGGGTTTGCACTCAGACGCCACACGTGCCTTGGAATAACACCTGGAAAGACGTGCTCGATGGCACAGCAAGAAAAGGAAGGGGATGGAGGCAAGGAAACAAACGATTACATCATCAAAACAACTCGGAGGTCCGCACGGATTTCTCGGATCGGTACCGAATCCCACTCCCTGGCGCGCGGAACGCGCCAAAGGCGGCGCCGGAGGCGCCGCCGGGGGGCCCCAGCGCCGATCCGAGGAATCCGCGCGGACCTCCGAGTAATGTCATTGGTTGTTCCCGTATCTTCCCAATCTTCCCATACATCTGGCCGCTCCAATTAATTGGGTGCGTGGGCTCGGAGGTCTGGACCACTTCCCTATGGCCGGTTTCTCGTCTTGAGTTGTTTTCGTTGACGATCCTGACGAATGGACGCAACGACGGGTAACTGTCAGGCGCGTGAGCTGGCTTGTCCAATTAACTGGACGGATAAGCAGCGAGCTCCACTCTGCGGGATGTCGGCCATGTTCGGATCGTCCTCCCTTCTCCTCATCCTCACTGTTTCTCCGAACCTTTTAACGAACAAGCCTCCACATCTCTTGAAACGCTCGCACGCCTGAACATTCAAAAAACACGCCCGTGCTTTCGGCCTCTGCGAGGTCGCCGCGCTGGGCACTCCGCAGACAGCTGTGCCAGCGGCAGTGGTGTGGAAAGCTGAGCGCTGCTGTTAAGAACCTCTCTCCTCATCATCCTCGTCCTCAAACTCGGCCCACGCCCCCTAATGCATTCTAGGCTGAGTGGGGACGCCCGCGCCAGCATGGCATGCCAATCGCATACACGCCGCCGTGACGGGCCGTGACGCGAAGTAGCTGCTGGGGCCTTCCCGAGACCTCGTGTCTTGGCAACTTAGGTCAAGCCAAGCAGCAGCAGGAAGGCAACAAGGCCGAGACATAATGGCCGAAGGACAGCAACGCTAGCCCGAGAGCCCGCGCCTCTCGGCGGCCTAGGGGCCAGAGCCCCGCCGGCCAAGAGGGCGCCGCCGTTGCGGGCACCGCGGGGCTGGAAGAGGTAAGGCCGGCCTGCCGCGGGATGCGATGCGATGCGACCATCCGTTGCGGATGGGTGGGTGAGGCCATGCTCTAGGAAACCGGGCCTGTCTGGAGACACGCCGTGCGAGGCACCTAAAAAACTGACCGGCGTGCGATTGCGCCAACTGACCAGGCTTCCTGCTCGCCTCCAGGTCGATCTCCTCTCCCTGCAGACGGGGTCTCCTTTTTCTACAGCGGACGCCTCTCTCGCATGTGAGGCAATGCACATCGATATGAACATGCTGATGATGCTGATGATGTCGATGATGATGTCGTCAAGGAAACGTGGGTCTGCCCCCGCGGGCCACTGCCGGGGGGCAGTCTCCAAAAGCACTGGAGATCAGAGAATTGGTGGCAACCAACCGCGGATGCTCACACACCTGGCTTTGCGCAGATGCCTTGCGACATGCCGAGCAAGGGATTGAACCCATCGCTAAGTTCCGCTCCGAGGAGAAGACATACACATCCGTCCGCGTCCTCTGGCGCGGCGACTCTCCTATCTGGTGGGCCGGGATGGAGCAAGACAAAGGGAAAGAGGAGGAGGAGGAAGGACACGCCTGTGCACTCGTGGCCACAGCAACGATGGACAGCTCATTGAGCTCGCATGGCTGTGGGAAAACCAAACCCTGCCATCACCGACGGCAGCCCTCCCACCTCCTCCTCCTCCTCCTCCCGGACAGGGACAATAGGATAGAAGCGCTGTAGGATATAAGCGCTGCAGAAGATGTCGGATAGGAGCGCTGTGGGATAGACGCCCTGTCTCTTGGAGACGGGCGCTCAAATAATTGACGCGCTGACGGAACAGCAGACTGCCGAAGCTCACAGGGAGATGTGCAGCAAGGGCGAACCCTTGTGGAGGCTGAAGCACGTCTCGATCAAACGATCGACCTTCAGATGACTGCCCGAAGGCCGCCCAGCCGCCGCCGGCTTTTCCGCGAAGCGCGACGCGGGCACCTCCTCGATCGCCGGCCCGTGGTTCTTGAATGCGGCCATCACTGGGTGTTTCACGCCCATCGCCTCGAGCGCTCGGACGAACGGCAAGTTCTCAGGGTCGCGGATGTGATGCACTCGGCCGGTGGCCCACTTTGCGAGATTCGCTGCGAGGCCTTGATCCGTTGAGACCGTCACCTTCATGGAGGTACCGCGAGCCAATGCCATGAGCCTCTTGGCGAACGTGGGGTGGACGAAATCCGACCAGCATTGGGCGTAGGTAATTTAAGGAGGTGGTTCTTCCACCCTCCTTCTTCTTCCCCTTGGGGAGAGGCTTACTTCTCTCCTGACCCCTCTCACTGGGTCTGGACGGGGCCCGTCGCGAGCATAAGGGGCACCCAAGATGGCCCCGAAATGGCCCCAAGGTAGCTCAAGATGGTCTCTAATATCCCACAATGTAGCGCAATATTGCTCAAGATGATAGCTTGCACCATACTTCCAAAAGGCACCATGACCGTCTCACGACGGCTCCAAGTGGCCACAAAGCCTCCCAAGGACACTCCAGAGAGTCCAAAGTCTTTACAACACACACGTGAGTCAAATCAATGTGTTTGCCTTCCCGCCCTTTCGCTCACGATGGGCTCTCGAGGTCTCCGGATGGCCCCGAGATGGCCGAAGAGAGCCCGAGAGGCTAGGATGTTTGAGCAAACGCATGGCTCACCACACAACCAGATCGGTTAGGGTGTCCGTCTCCTTGCTCCAGCTGGTGCTTGCCCGTCTCCCCTCCCCCGTCGGGGGCCCAAGCCTCTCTGGGCCAAGCTGGGGATCGGCCTCAGGTGGCCCTGTTGCCGGGGTCCCGAGCCCCCCGGGATCCAGAAGACGCGCGCGCGGCGATGGTGCCGCGCGGCCCGCGGAGGTGCCCGCGAGGCGGGGTGACTACGGCCTGGCGCCCGGTGGCGCCCGCCAACGCTAGCCGCCGAGCGCCGAGGCGACGCTCCCTGGGCTCTGCAGCGGCCGCCGCGGCGCAGACGTGCTGGGCATCGCGGTCGGCGCCGCCGTGCCCAGCACTCGCGGATTTGCGTGGAGCTGGTCCACCACCCGCCGGCCGGGGCGCCGCGGGGCCGCCGACCCGCCCGAGGAGAAGGAGGACACGTCCATGGAGGCCCTCTCGCTGCACCAGGTGTACTACACCTGGCACTATGAGTACCAGGACGGGGTAATGCAGGATGACGATTAATAAAAAAGGGGAGAGAACGAGTAAAAGAATAGTTTTCTGCTATTTCTGCACAATTTTCTGACTGGAGGAGAACGATTAAAAAGAACAGTTTTCCAGCCCGCGGCCGGTTTTTTTCTAGTCGTCATCCCGGGCGCCGCCGCGTGAACACGACCCCCGGTCATTTATCAATCGTCATCCTCCATTACCAGGACGGGGTAGAGGAGGAAGGCGGAGTGAAGGCCCCTGGCGCGGCCTCTCCCACAGAGAGCCCTGGTAGGGCTCCCTCCGGCGTGCATCGGGTGCCGCCGGGCAAGCCACTGGCTCAGAGAAAGGGAGACGGGAGCCCACAGAGATCCTGACGACCCAAGCGTTTCTGGGATCGAGGGTAGGGGGCTTTCGGGCGCTGATTTGGAAGACACTTGGGAACGCCACCTCTTGGAGCATCGAGGGCGCGGGGGGAGGTGCCTTCAAGTCCCTAGGGAACTTGCGCTAAGCCTTTTCCACCCGTAAAGAGAAGGGCTGGCTCAGGGCCGACGGCGGGTGGGTCTTCCACGGCCTGGACCAGCTCGGCATCTCGCTCTTCGGCGCTGCCTGGCCCGGGGTCGCCTGGGGAGGGGTCCTCTCGCTGATGACGGGGGTCGTGGTCCTCATTGCTCACAGCTTGCGGGCTCTCTTCGCACCCTTCAGCTGGGCGGCCTTGGGGCTCGGCATCATCGTACTCAGCCTCACGTGGTGCTGCCCTAGGTGCCAGAGGCCAGGCGAAGCAGAGCTGGACAGGCTCTTGCCGCTGGCCGCTCCACCTCTGGTGAACGTCTCCTGGAAGGGCCCGGGCACTGGGCAGGATACCACGACTGAGCACCTGCGGCAGTACATCAAAGACTAAAGGGGGGCCAAGTGGAGCGTGAACGACCGGCTGATCCGCAAGGACGAGCAGGTCGCCAGGCTGAAGCTAGACCTCCAGGACCCGGAGCGCATCAACAGGACGGGCCTCTGGGTGGCCTTCGCCGCGGTCCTCGGGCCCAGCAGCCGCTCCCTTCGGAAGGCGCTCTTGGACCAGCCCAGGTGGGCGCACCTGTGCCGTTCAAGAGAGTGTCAGGAGAAAGTTGGCGAGTCGCACTGCAAGGAGTACGCGGCGGTGGACTCCGAGGCAATCGTCGACCTGGGTCACCATTCGACGTTGTCGGCTTGCTGCATCTGCGTTCTCTTCTGGAGGAGCTGATCTTGGGTCTGCCGAGTGTGCCTGGGAGCCCTGACGTGCTGCGGGTCCTGCCTGTGCCGTCGGCGCCGGCGCCGTTGCGCTGGGACTGGCGATGCGGGGCCTCGCGAGCAAGGGGCGGTGGCGAGCTTCCTCGTCCAGGAGCCGGAGTCGGAGGTCGAATCGGAGGAGCGGCCCTGCCAGGCCGTCCGCGTGGGCATCCTCACAGGCCGAGCCATGCGCACCTTGGCCCAAGG